TTCGTTCTACATGTAAGAAAGATCGAAAAAGGCATTCAACAAAGATGTCAAACCAAAAATGCTAGAAAGCTCAAAAAGGCATTCAACAGAAGGGTTGCCTGTAAATGAGCAAAGTTCAAAATGATGGAGATCGGGGAGGTTACATTTCCAGCTGATGGAACACATAGCGATAAGGATTTTAGCTAACAACACCTCAAAATGAAGCGCTTATCGGGAGGCAACCCAATGTTTTTACTGAGTTTGCATTTTTTTTTAATTTTTAGTATTTCATTTTCTTTTACAATTTTTGTTTTTGTTTAACCGAATGATGATGTGTTTCTTTAGTTCATGATCTTATTTTGCAGTGTTATAAGAAACAGAAGAAGTAAAGAAACGTAATCGAAGAAAGCTGATAGATTTTAGAAGATCACAATCAAGAGCCACATATTTGAATAAGTGTGGGGTAATTACCTGACGACGAGAGGAGTTTGAAGAACTTTACAGAAAGAAAAGGATCGATATTGGTCTTTAGCCATTGAGAAGTGAAGATGCATTATATTGGCTTTAAATGAACTTCTATGAAGTGATCACGACGTGACATCACTAGACCATGCCACGATGTTATTACTTTTCATGATCATGTTGATTTTTTACTCGACACCACGATGTGGCATTGCTTTCCCATGTCGTGGTTGACTTACAATACATTGTTTGAAGTTTTGCTACCCTACATTTTTAAGGGCATGGTTATTGGTTTTATTTATTCGACACATTCAAGCATTACTAGAGATTTAGTTTTCAAAAATTTTCATGATGTCCAAGTTTTTCTGCTTATTTCTAAGGATTCGATATCGCCACTACTATTTAAGGGGAGTATGTTTCAAAATTTCATCTTCAATTTTATGTTTTTTATTGTTTTAACACATTGCATCATTTTAATGTGATGTAGAAGGTTGAATTTAGAAATGCAAACATATTGATAAAAAATTAAAAAAACGATTTGAATTTAAATTTTTTTAGATAGATTTGAAATAATAATATAAAAATTTAGTTAAAAATTTTATATTGTTATTTTAAAATTTAGATTGCTCGCATTGTGTGTGACATTAATATTACTACTTTTAAATGGTTCATTTTTATAATCGATCGATTTGACAATGTCTTCTATTTCAAACCCGCATTATAATTTGGTTTGAGTTTCGTTTCTTTTTTTAATGCTAAATTAATTAAAAAGAATACACACTACAAGTGCCACCTACTTACGTCACTTTGATTTTCCAAGTGGCTTCTAATTAGATTTATACCGCTTCAATCAATCTACACCGTCTATTATTTCATCGTCACAATCCGACGATCGACATTTGCGATCCGTGCCACTCAAAATCAACCAATCAAATCATCTCACACCCTATATAAAAGAAATCCCCTTTTCCCCACATCTAAATCATCAGTTTCAGTTATTTTTACTTCACTCTCTTCGAAGCTCTACTCTACCAAACTCGCTAAAAATGGCACCCAAGGCGGCAGAGAAGAAACCGGCCGAGAAGAAGCCAGCGGCGGAGAAAACTCCCAAACCGAAGGCGGAGAAGAAGCTCCCGAAGGATGCTTCTGCGACTGATAAGAAGAAGAAGAGGAGCAAGAAGTCCGTAGAGACGTACAAGATCTACATCTTCAAGGTTCTGAAGCAAGTTCATCCCGATATCGGAATCTCAAGCAAAGCTATGGGGATCATGAACTCCTTCATCAACGATATCTTTGAGAAGCTCGCTCAGGAATCCTCTCGCCTTGCTAGGTACAACAAGAAGCCAACAATTACTTCAAGGGAAATCCAAACCGCCGTCAGACTTGTTCTTCCCGGTGAATTGGCCAAACATGCCGTCTCTGAAGGTACTAAGGCCGTCACCAAATTCACAAGCGCTTAGGTTTCTTTCGTGGTGATTTAATTTGGGGATTTTGTTATGTAACAGTTCTTAGTATAAGGCGTTGTAATTTATAAAAAATTCTGAATTCAGTAACAATCTTTGTTTCTTGAATCTAACAACAATCGTTTTTTCTTGAATTTTGAAGCAATCGTGTACGTGTTTATCTTATAATTTGTGCGACTTTGGATTTATTGATTAAAAATCGAGCTTGATTGTTGTTAATCAGCTGTTTCTTTAAAGTGTCATGGGATAAAGTTATCAATTTGATCTGTGGATAATTCAATATATAAGAATATAAAATAGGAAAACTTAATCGAGTGTGACTTTTGTTTCGAGATGTATGCTGCATTAAAATGCAGCTTCATTAACAACTTTGCATCGTATTTTACTCAATAAACCAAAAATAATAAAACAAAACAATTTTGACATTTTAAAATGTATATGTAAATTTTGGAATCAAAATATATAATGATAATTTATATAAATTTGTAAAATCTCAAATAACTTTGTAGAGAGTATTGAACGAAATACAGCATGATTTATCTACGTGTAATTTAGAGAAAATGTTGCATGTAAATAAAGATATTAATTGAATTGTCGAATCAAGGCAGCATGCAATCAAATTATCATAAGAAATTTGAAGTCAATAATGTTATGTGGAAACAAGGATATGAAGAGTAATTTAGTTGACTCTGAGGTTCTTTTTGGAGAAAAACAACAATGCATGGGTTGTTAGTGAAAAACTTGATAGAAAATATGGAAAAAATTGGAGATGCGTCTCGCATGCTAAGCGAGCGCTCTACCATCTGAGCTACATCCCCATTTGTTTATTTTCTACCAAGGAATATTATATTTATATCTTGGTTTTGTCACATAGTATTATACAAACAGGTTTACTTAGAAGATCAAGTCTACTGTTTTCTTTTGCCTATGAATTATATCGAACACGTTTCTAGTTTAGTACTATTACATAACTTGCATCTATAAATTCATATGTTGCATCTTTATGAAAGTTATGCAGAAAAATTGTTCCAAAGAGTTTGTTTCTTTTTATTGTTTCGTTTGAAATTAGCCATCTCGAGTCATCCTCTATCATACTACACATGTGGATCAACTAAAGATCTAACACAAACAAATATGTGATTTAATTTAAAAGCTTTTTGGAAATCACTAGTAAAACCTAAAAACGGTGATTCTATGGTCATTTTTCAAACAACATATCTCATTATTTCAACAAATTGTGTTGATAACTAACAATAATATACATAATACTTGCAGGAATCCTTAATTAGTTTCGGAAACTAAGCTGACATTTTTGAAACAAGAAAAAGAAAAGAGGGTAATAATGAATTTGTTTTAAAAGCAACAATCAAAATTCATGGGATTTCGTAACATTTTCCCTTTCTTAAAGTTAGAAAGAAAAAAATAAAACTTAAAACCCAAAACAAGATTTTGATCCTGCAACCTGTTACTAGCATCGCTACTTCTTCAATTTAGTTTCCGATAAAAAAAAAAAGCTGGAATCAGAGAAAAGATCAGAAAATGGACACAAGTGTTAGAGTATATTCTTTGAAAATTTATCACATGTAATAGCTTTTATTCCCACATCGGAAGGATTAATAACCTAAGGGCAATTAATAAAAGGTTATTGTGCAGTAGAAGTCACCGGGCTTGGTAGCGCTTGCCTGTGACTCAAGTGAGGGTATCAAAGATGTTTGGACTGTGATTCGGCTCAGCTGGATTGGTCTTGTTGGCGCAAAAACCGGCTTGCCCGTTCCAAGTTGTGAGTTGGACTATGTGGCTTAGGCGTAGGCTTGGCTCACATGGTTCCTAAAGCAAGGGACACTGCGTTAGGCTGGCTTCACAGAGCTGCGAGAACTCTTCGCTTACGACAGTTGAAGGATAACGAGTTGGGTGCTCCAATGGGCTGTATAATCTACTGGGCCGTTTCAAAAGAACAAACATTTTTTTGTCATTTTAATTTTAAAATATCAATTGATTTTAATTTATAAAGCCAAATTCTATAAAACCAGTGTGGTTTATTTATTATTTATTTATTTATTTTTTTAAATTCTAGTTTAACCGATAGTTTTTTTTTTTTCCAACAAAACCACAATACTTTTTTTTGTCCATTAGTGCGTTGCAAATAACAAATGGGTTTTTTTTTTTTTTTTTTTTTTTTTTTTTCTCGGTAAATGGTTATTAAAAAAAGTTTAAAACTATCGATTGTTGTTACAAAAATAAAAATTCCTTCAACTGGTCAAATCAAACAATATTCAAACTCTCATGGCTTTTATACAATTCAAAGTTTTATGCTGTGGTTTTTTTGGAAATAGAAGAAAACTCTTAGTGGTTAACATAGAAAAAAGTTCTTTTGGTGGTTAAACTGGAAAAATACCGAACTACAATGTTTTTTACAAAATTTTCCTTTTATAAAATTATCTATTAAGTAATAAGTTTTAAAAATCTTATTAGTTTTTTCGTAGTTTGTTATTTTCTAATTGTTATAACTAACTAGTAAGTTTCTCAATTGGTATTAAATATCTTACATTTTCGAATTGTTTCTAAAAGTTGTTTTTTCTTTGCTCAATGAAATGTATTAATTTCTCTTTGATCTATTTTTTTTTATTAAATTGAATAAATAGACTTATATATGGCGTTTAATGGTTTTACAAGAGTGGAGGCCGATGCATACTGAAAAAAGCTTGTAATACCGAATAATAAAATAAGCTTTTTCACTTTAAAAAGGCCATGAAAAAACTTTTGCTAAAAAAAATAGGTTTTTCATAAGTTCATTGACAATTCGGTTCCTACATTAAACACATACATATTGCTTAACAAATACTCGGTAAAAAATCTAAACCAAATTAAGCTTTTTAAACCAAGTAATTAGTGAAATTTAAGCATGATTAGAGCAACAAAATTACACCAGTCAAACTCCAACATTTCCACAAACATCTAAATGAAAAAGATCGAAAGTTTTATTTTAACTAAAAACTAGCAAAGATTACATCATAGATCTCGGGAAAGAGCCACATCACATAGAAATGGCCCTTTCCTAGTAGCATGGTTACACCGATGAACGCAAGGTACATTTACCTAAACGCCCCTCCTCAATTCGTTATTCTCCTTGCTCAAGTCATCAATTCGAGACTGAAGAATATTAATCATTGCTTGGGCCCGCATCACTTCGATCTTCAAAGTCTCCTTCTCCATTGAAACATTGAGAATCTCATTTTCCAAATTGCTAATGAACTTTAGGTACCCCGGGGGCACGGATTTCTCGAGGGTAGAAGCGTCAAATGACTTTGGGGTGGTGGGATGATGAGTTTCTTTAAGTAAAGGGAACTCAACAAGTGTTGTTGTTGTTGTTGTTGTTGTTGTTCTTGGATCTTGACTTGTTGTGGTTGAATCTTCAGAACCATTTGCATTGTTGGAGTTTGGATCACTTGGCTTTAATCTTTTGTTGTGAAAGAGGGAGAATGTTTCGAGTTTGGGTTCTGAATTTGAAGGAGAGTCTTGTGATCTTTCCCTCTTGCACACAAAGGGAATTGTTTTGGGATTATTCTGAAAAATAGATTGGTTTCATTAATCAAGAACATAAAAGATTTCAACTTTATGATTAAAGGAAAGAAAAGACTCAACACCCAGAGAGTTAGTTTGAGTAAGATGTGATCTTTTAGGACGAAACATGTTGTACTGCATTTGACTAATGTTATGAAGTCATTGTACTTTCAAAAAGTGTAATTTAGTTGAAAACTATTTATTTTTCTTGAGTCAACTCATTAACATTTTGGTATTCTACGAAAATACAAAATCATTTGTAAAGTTTTTTAGTTTAAAATTAACCAAATACGAATACTAAATCACTTGCAAAGGATACTAAATCAAGGATTCGAGACAGTTTGAGAGTTTCAATTCCAATACGGATTGGACTCTTAGTCAGCTACCTAGTGGGTGGATGGTGTGGGCCAAGTTGCCTTGTAATCTTTCGAGTTCTTATAATACAAGTTCTCCTTCGTTTGTAGTAATTCTCAAACTTTAGTCTCTTGCTTTCTAAGTCGTTAGTACATCTCAAAGAAGTGTAGCAAGCCTACTTAGAGGTTGCTATAAAGATAACTTTTTGTAGAAACAAGGGGAAATTACATAAAAGTGCGCGCACGCACACATACCTCTACAATGTCATTTCTTTCTACACAAGTTTCATCACCATTAGTCCTCTCATCCTCGGGAACAAAGAGGGCGGCATCGGCATCATGATCCCATTCCTCCTCCACAAACGGTGCATATCGGTCTCCATTTGGTGGTCCTAAACCACTCTTCTGAAAAATTCTGCAAAGCACAAACGCATCCTTTTTCCCCCCCAAAAACAACAACACGTATACCTTTCAGTTGAAGATTCCAATACCAAATACGTATTTAGAAACTACTTGTGATTCAAACCTGTGCAACTCCGGCTCTTTGCAACTCTTGATCCAAAAGTCTATATTCATGCATTACCCAATTCGTCCGCTTCCCATCTGGGGCCCGCCCACTATGGAAAACTAATGTTTTCTTCATTCCGATTGTCTCCGACTTGTGGCGGACTGCCCGGTCCTTCCCGGTCGCCTTCCAATACCCCTGCCCGGTTGCCCGGTTCAAACGACAACCGTTGCCATACTTTCTATCCACCGGGCTGAAAAAGTACCATTCTAGGTCTCTTGAATTCCATGGAGAAAAGTCTACAAAATCACAACACACAAAAGACAGTATATGACATGACATGACAGAACAAGAACAAATTGTACTGAGTTTGACATGCATTGGATTAGGACTGTGACTTATGAGTTATGACAATAGGAAAAGATTACGTTTTTTTTTTGTCCCACCCAAAAGCGGAACAAGTTGGGATACAGAGCTAATATCTCATTTGTGCAAAAGACGTAAATGCCCTCCTCATCAAAATGGTCCTAGATTAGCTTGTCTAGTCCAATTTTGTCCGGTGTAACAAAGGCAGCCTTATATAACAATATTTGCCCTTCTTCTCACCCAAAAAAGAACACACACATATATTACACATACACACTTGGAGCATAAAATAAGTTGGGTAATTCAAAGTACATAAAAAAAGTGAAAAAAGCTTTATACTAAAGTAATCAGAAAATGATGAAATTTGTCGGATTTCCAATACAACATTGCTGAAAAGTCAAGATTTTTATGCCCTTTTGAAAAATCGCAAACACTTAGACAACTCAATTAGACAACAAATCGTCTTATGGTAAACTCGCTCCTTCATTTCTAGGGAACTTTTAACTTTTTTGTAGAGATTATCCATTTTTTCAAGCTTCGATCTTTCCAAGAAAGATAATAATTTACAATTTAAGTGACTACACAATGTCATAGAAAAGTTCCCATCTTTAATACCATTTTGCAGAAATCTAAAGCGATAACAATCTTAAATTAAATTTCAAAGTTCGATTGAAGACGCTAGAGTTCTCGAATCTAAATCGCAGAATTAGCTCATTGAATTAGGTTATGGTGTTGTAAAAACGTAAACTTCCTAACCAATTTATCAAAATTGTAATTGAGGGAATTTCAAGAAAAATTGGTAATTAAATGAAATGATGAACACAGATATGAAAAGCACAAATTCATCAAACCCACAAAGATTTATATATACCGGCAAGTTCCCAGGGTTCGGATTTGTAGACATCGATTTCCGACACAGCTTGAAATCGAAAGGGCTTCCCACAAACCTTACGCCTCAAATAATACCTCACAAGCTCTTCATCAGTCGGATGAAACCGAAATCCAGGAGCAAGAGAGGTCGGCGGCGGCGGCGGAGGTGGAGGTGGTGGTGGTGGTGGCGCTACGACCATCAATTCATGACCCATATCGATCTGGAAGATAAATTGAAGATGTTGGTGTCCCTCTTTTGGGATGAAAAGACTAAAAAAGCAGAGGGATTGATGAAAAGCTTAAGAAGAAGCCATTAAAGTTAGGATTGTAGGTGAAGCAAGTAACCCACACCAACAGTGAACAAGAGAGAGAGAGAGATGTTTGCCCGTGGGTTAAGAAACCCCCGATGACTGGATACTTGCTTGACACGAAAATCAAGAAGCAGTATATGTACGTAATTGTATATATATAGGTGTGTGGTTGTGTTCATCTTTACTTCTTTGGTGGGTTTTTCCTTTTTGTTCTTGTTTTTTTATGGTTAGATATTTTTTTTTAATGATGGTTGTTTGGCGAGTTTGGGTCATTCAAGTTGTTTGGGTTTGTATATCATCGAATCCCCTATTTAAACTCTTATTTGATTTAATTAGAGATTATTTACTATAATGAAGTATAAACTTTGAATTTAGATTTTGGTTCCTCGGATAATCAAAACAACACAATACTAACTGTGGTTAGTGGAAATGGATTACATAAAAATTTGGAATTCACAACACTTGGGTTGACTTGGATTAGAGTAGTGTGTTTGACTTGGATTAGAGTATCCTTAATATAAGATATACATAGATTAGTTTATAATTTGTAAGAAAATGATTACAAAATTAATTAAATTTTCATTGTAAAAATTTAAAATTATTAATTAATTATTTTAAATAAGTTATTAATTAAGAAATATTTTTTTAGTTATATAAAATTATAATCGTTGATTCAAATACATACGTAACATTATATCATGTTATAATTTGTATTAATTTTATATTAATATAATTAGAATAGGAAATTTAAAATATAAAATTTGAAATGGAGAATCAATAAATTGACAAATGACATGATATTAATTAAGGGGTTTAATAGGGCGATACATATCAAAAGAACTATACTTTTATTAGTATAGGGAGATTAGAGACTTCAGTATTTTAAAACTGGTAATATGAGAGAATTACAGGTTTTCATATTTTGTCTTAAAGAAATAATACATAATTATCCAAATAAAAAGGCTACCAACCAACTAGAAAAAAGAAAAAGATAATAACAAACCAAGAAAATAGGAAAGATATATGGACTAAAAATAAAATAAATCCTATACTCTACCTCAAGATGGAGCACACAAGTTTTTAATGTCCATCTTGCTCGGTAATGAATGAAGTTGTTGCGTGCCAAGACCCTTAGTGAGTAAATCTGAAAGCTGAAGTTTGTTGTCAATTGCCTTTGGTAGAATCTCTTTAGTCTCCACCCGCTCACAAACGGAAAAACAATCCATTTCTACATGTTTTGTTCGTTCATGGTAAACATGGTTGTTTGCAATGTGACGAGCAACATGGTTATCACAAAACAAAGGGGTGGGTGTCATTATGACAACCTGTACATCTTTGAGTAGCCACCTCATCCAAAGAATTTCACTGACAGTAGAAGCCATTGCTCGATATTTTGCCTCTCTAAAAATCAAGATACCACTATTTGTTTCTTTGTTCTCCAAGAAATAGGACCACTACCAAACATAAGTAAATATAATGTTCTTGAACATCCTGTAAATGGACATCCAACCCAATCAGAATCACAATATGAAGTCAAATCGGATGGTCCGTCACGGTGGAGAAGTATGCCTTGTCCTAGTGTTCATTTCAAATACCTTAGAACCCGATTTGCAACCTCTAAATGATTTTTTCATGGGTGTGCTACAATTTTTTCACCCATATTTTTTTTATTTTTAGAACGTTTATTTAACAGAATATGTTAGCGAAAGTCTTATTTTGAATTCTATGAAAACATCACCAATGTTACTTTCATTACCAAAAACATCATTCATAAAAATTAAAGTTCATAAACCAATCCAAAACAAGTTCTCAAAACTAGTGTTATGAAAACTCAAGGAAATGTTCAAATGGTATCATCAATAAATTAATACTAAAAGTAGCTACCTAATAGACCCCATGCTCATAAAGTCATTGGACTATGCTACCTGTACCAGTGCAAGGCAAACAACAACCAAAGAAACAAGTGTTAGCAAATGCTAAGTGAGCTAATCATAAGTATAATGTTATGGAACACACATATCTCAAATGAGTCACACAAAACATCATGAAAATATAAACTCACATAGCATGACATCACTAAGTGTGGCACGACTCTCACCTGTAACATTGCCCCTGGTTTTGCTGATTTCGCTACTCCGATGTTGCATATACTAGTACATGCGTTGTAATTAAGGATTGGTACGAGCGGTGTCAATTCCATCAAGATACACCTCCTAAATCTCACGTGTGTTTGCGCAGACGTCCCATGTCACAACTAGGAATTTTGATGCTTTGTAAACACTTAACAAGGATAACATTATGATTAAAACCTGAAAGCATGTATGATGTTTATTCAATGACAACAAAATTTCAATCAAACACTCTGTACAAACATTCAAAAAGTCAATAAAAGGTTGGAAACCCTAGAAATCCCGTTTAAGTCTATTATGGACTAGGATTTCCTTATTGGGCCTAATGGACCAATAAGCTTCCAATTTGACTATTTTGGGCCTAGAACCCTTAAATGGGCTCTAATTGGACCTACTTTCATAAAATTTAACATTTTGGGCCATAATGAGTCTAAAATGAAATAAATTACCCTAATGGGCCTTAACTAAACTAATAAGCTTTATAGGGCTGTAAAACTCACTCTTTTAAAAATTATTGGGCCGTAAGATATCTTAAAAGCCCAATGGGCTAAAAAATAACAATTTGGGCCAATGATTTCGAACTAGGGCAACTAATGGCACAAACTACTTAACTCCTTTCTCCTAGCCCAATTCTCCGCCCACACCCATAATATTAATAAAAAAGAAAGAAGTGAATTATTGAGGGTTAGACACCTAATCTTTACATTTTGGGTATCCATGCACCATCCTCTCCTCCCCATGTACCTATCACTTAATCTATTTATCTTTCCCCTCTTCTCTCCTACTCTCGACCGAAGGTAGACACATACACACAATTCATTTCCAACTCTTTCCAAATTTTCTCAAGAACACCTTCATTCCTCCATCGAAATTTTGAGATCTAGGGCATTTCAAGGAGGTTCTTCAATAAGAAATCATCATCCTTGGTAAGTTTTACTTAGATCCATGGTTTAGTTTCTTAATTCTTTTATAGATCTCCTTCTAACTCATGAAAATTCATGATCATGCTTCTTAGAACCTATCTAAGCCAAAGTATTCTCAAGAAGCTTTCTAGGGCCGAAAATAACATCAAACGCTTCCATTCTTTCTTCAAAACCGAAAACAACAAGCAAAGGTGAGTTCATACCCCTCTATTTTCGGTTTTCACATGTTTTATGGGGCAGAATACAAGTAAAATGTGTAGATCTATGTGTTTTTGCATGATATGTGTGATTTCTGGAGCTTATTTGATAAATATGTGTGAAAAATCATGATCTATTCGAGATCCTTAACTATGATAAGGATATATGTGTTCTAATACATCTTATACATGCTACTATCAAGACCAAAGTAGTATACAAATTCAAAATAAGCAAAATAAAACACAAATCTAAATTATGAACCATTTTTGACAAATAAGAAAAAGATAAGAAATAGATGTCATTTATGGTTTTATAAGGGTCAAAAAGGTTAAATCATGTTAAAGTATGAGTTATTATAAAAATCTTGACTTTTAAAGGACTAAACCTGTAACTTTTAGCCTAATGGGCTAAACTTTGGGCTTTTCAGCCTTTAGGCCCAAAAATTGTGAAAAATATGTTTGAAGGGGCTGAAATTGTAAGTTTATCAAAACAGAGGGTAAAAACACAAATAAACATGTTTCATGGATTAAAAATGTCTTATTTATCAACTAGGACTAAAATTGCAAAGTTTCTGGCTTTTGGGCTAAAATTGTAAAATTTGCGATAAGTTTGACTTCAGGTGCAACATTTTTTATTCAAAAGGGCTGAATTTGTCCAAAAACTAAATCTTGGGCTGAAAACCTTATTTAAATAAGCCTTTGGGCCAAAATGTCAAGAAAAAATAGTTTAAGGACCTAAAATGTCATTTTTCATAAAAAGGGACAAAAATTGTCATTTTTATTAAAAGAAGGGCTGAATAGGTCAAACCAATATTTTGAGTCAATTATTTTACTATTAAGATATTTGGGTAAAAAATACAAAATTTTATAACCTATGAATTTTGAAAAATATACAAATATTTTAATAAATCTAAATATCGTTATCAAACAATTTGGCGAATGTGATGACTTTGCGATTAAACAATTCGTGTGAAAACAAACCTAATGACATTAATACTATACGAAACAAGTAAAATTATATCGGTTGGGCTTAAATACTTCTAATCATGTTTGTTGGGCCTTCATGACCCATTAACGTGACTATTGGGCCCAACATAAATAATACATGTTTATTGGGCTTCCGGTGGCCCAATTACATGCCTAATGGACCCTCAATGGCTTTAAATGGTATTGGGCTTCAGTGGCCCATTAGCATTGCTAGTAAGGTCCAAATAAATCATATGCGAAATAGGTCAACGCGCCCTTCGTATACTCGACAACTTTAAATAACATACATGATTAGTAGGACCTTGTGGTCCTCTTCTCCTCGTTTGTTAGGCTTACATTCTATTCAAGTAAACAAAAAAATCAGGTCGTTAATCAAGGTTAATCAAATTCATTTGGATTAAGTGAGTAATACCTGGCGACACCAATAAGTGTCCGTCGTAGTCTGTAGTTATCATCAAAGTCTCCTGGGAGGGAGAGCGAAAGTTTGTGTGTAGATCTATACGGGGGTGACTCCCCTACACATAAGCTGTTCGCTACAGTTAGACTCGGCCAGTCTAGGGTGACAAAATCTTAAGATCAATTATGGCGTTCACCAGAATGCCAAGATAGACGAACTAGTCATTACCATGCATGGTTATAACAACTCACATAGAAATCCAATACCATCTAAGTAATCAGGGAAATTATACTCATTCGATGTGACGATACAATAATACGAACGATGATACTATTTTATCGGAAAGCATCGGGTTTTCCGGGGAAATCAACATTATTCACTTGTACTTTCAATAACTATAATGCAAAACTTCTCATTCATACACGTTTTGAAATCATTCATGCACATACCTATGGATCTTCGATCTTCACAATTTTTGTATAAACGATTGCCGTTTAAGAAAATATTGGATTTTCTGGGTTTTATAAACTACACAAAACATTTTCATATCAA